TCGGCCGCGGGGCTCGGGCGCGCTCGCCGTGGACGGCTGCGCGAGCACTTCGTAAGGGCCCGCGGGACGCCGTGCCCGGGCGGGCGCGTGGCCTCGCGAGGGGCCCGGGACGGCCTGTGGCATCGGGGCGCGCGCCCTGGCCTCGGAGCTTCGGAAGCGCCACTCGGAGCGGAGCGCCGACTCTCCCTCTCTCTCCCCCTCCCTCTCTCCCTCTCCCCCTCAACAGGCTGTTGACTTGTGATTAACGTACTGTGCTATGGCCATCTGGGGTCTGATGTAGGTGTCATTTTGTCGTTTTCTTCCCGTTTCTGTCTCGGGGTGAAAAGCTTTACTGAAAAGCGGTGGCGGAGGATCCGGGTTTGGGAACTGTGTGGAAGCAGGTCGTGACTTACTTCTTCCTGTGTGTTTGTGGAGATTTGAAGTAAAAGGACTTTGCTGTTAAAAGAAAGAAAACTTTTTACCAAGACGTAAGGTGAAGCTGGACCGGAAACCAACTCAGGTTAGGCCTTCAGTTTGGCAAGTCTCAGAAGTCTGCCCAGGATTTCCGAGCTCGTGTTTTGCTCTGGGTGCTTTAGAATGGCCAAGACGTCTAGCAAAAGAAGGCAACGTGCTTGCTTTCTTTGTGAATTGATTCGTTTCATTTTTTTGATGAGTCGAGTTGCATAACTTGGAGGAAAACAGGATGCCACTTTGGGTAGGCTAGAGAACGCCCGGATAACCTCGGAGGCTAAGAGTGTCACTTGGCATGGTTTTACAGAACGTCCTTCCGGTGTTCCCCACTGCCAGCTACTCCTGTTTTGGCTGTCTTTTATTTTAAAAAATGACTTTCTACTTTCATTTTAAGTCATTTAAGCACATTTAAAAAGCCATTTAAGCCAATGTATGTTGTGTGTAGCAGATCCAAAAAGTGTGTGTGTGTATATTTGGGGACCTTTCCCCCCCACCTGGGTGAAACTGTTTTGCTAGTTCCTTGATTTATCACACGGTCATAGGGGATTTCTGGAACTGCATTTTTCTCTCTGTGACGTCGGATTATTAACTGCTGTCATCCCAGATAAATGCTGTTAGATTCTGGCAATTCTTGTCTCTGTTGAAATCCCTAAACTTAAACATAAAACCAACTGACGGTTCCACTCATCCCATCTTTGAGCTGTTTATCTCATAGGTTTATGAGATATATACCTATGTTCATATTATGCATTTTTCTTGTCCCATCTTCTTTTTTCCTTACTTGCGGTGACTGGAGTATTCATTTCCTGACTTTGTGCGTGTCTTTGTGTGTGCAACTTTGATCCCAAGATGTGACATAGTAGTGGTCAGAAGTGGAATACTGTTTTATATACCAAATTTTAAAGTTTAAATGTGAAACGAGCATATTTCCTTTTTACTTAGAAGACCTATGTAAGCAATTCCAAAAACAGTCAGCGAGGGGAAATCCTATGTGCATATGTGAAAATGTGTTTAAGCTCAGGGAATTTAAGCAGCTTTCTTGGCACTGTTGAATTGAGGGAAATAATAAAAAAATAAATCTAAGACATTGTTAATTGTAAAGTTTTGCTACATTGAGGTCTTTGGAGGAAATTGTTTTGTGCCTTTTTAGATGAATGGAATTAGTAGACTTTAAAACTCCCAAGAGAACATAAAGGCTTTGATTTAAAAGGCTAAAATTGCATCATTTATTTCCTGCTCCTCCAAGGTTTTTCCAAAGTCAAGAATAATTATAGATCGATGAGAGGGTGGCAAAATCTGTGGTCCTGTCTCAGAGTGGGTAGGACTGAGAGACCGAGAGGCTTACTCTGGGTTTATCTATTGGCTCTGGGGATCCCTGACTACATTTTTATGAGCTTTTATTCCTTTGGGTCCTCAGTGGAGGAAGGTGTCAGGCAACACAGAGTCATTGAGTAGCGCTGGGGAGACACAAGGCCGTTGGCCAGAGCGAGTTGGAAAGGCTTTGCAGTCCCGTTGCTCAGTGACTCGATATATGAGACAGCTATTCCTCTGGGGTTGTTAAAGTTTATGTTTGTGAAGAGATTTAACCGGGGCTATGTTCTGCTTTCTTTTGAGCAGCTGAGCCCCATATGGGGGTTGGCAGGCAGCAGAGAGGACCTTTCCAAGGTGTTCGTGTGAAGAACTCAGTGAAGGAGCTCCTGTTGCACATCCGAAGTCATAAACAGAAGGCTTCTGGCCAAGCTGTGGATGACTTTAAGGTGACCCTGTTTTTTTTTGTTTTGAGTGGGGTGGTGGGGAGGGGTCGGAGTTATTGTCCTCCGCTGACCTGGGTGTAGTCAGTCACTTGCAGTTTTTTGTAGATGGCAAAGCCCGTAGAACAGAGGCCGCATTGATCTTGTTATCTGATGTGTTTCTATGACTTAGCTGAGCGCTAGGCACCTGGTAGGCGTGCAAGGGAAGCCTGCAGAATGAATCCACGGCGGCAAGTTAGGGCGAGGGAGTAAGCAGGGCTCAGTCGGAACGGAACGTTTCGACTCGAAAGGGAAAAAATCAAGCGGCCTTATTAGTTTTATCTTGACCTGTGGTGAACTAAGTGGAAAGTGAAAATGGGGAAACTGCAAGGTAGAACGAAAATTGAGGTGGAAAATAAATACTGATAGAATGACCGTGTCAAGAGGTTTATGGTGAGCCATCTAACGTGGTGGAGATAAGCCTAGCCCCTGATGAATACTGAGCAGGATGTTATTTTATGTGCACTTAACTGGAAACTTTTTTTCCCTGTAGACGCAAGGTGTGAACATAGAACAGTTCACAGGTAAGAGCCACGTCTGTTCATGATTTTATGGGGGCTTTGGAGTAAAATGGTTCAGTTTGGTAATGGGCAAAATTTGTAAGGTGAAGTAATCACGGATTCCATATTCCTTTCTTGAGTGTAGAACTGAAGAACACAGTAGCATACAGTGGGAAAAGGAAAGGGCCTGATTTGTTGTCTGATGGACCAGTCTGCAAAAGGCCATCTCTGTTGCATACCCAGTTTTTGGTAAGTTTTAAAAGGTGAATTTTCCTCTGAACGTCCTGGAATAAGTTTAGAAGGAAGCGCGTGTGCAACTTGCTTTCTCTTCCTTTCTAGACACCGCCTCAAACACCCACGCCCGTGGAGAGCATGGAAGATGTCCATCACCATGAGCCCAGACAGGACCCCAGTGCCGACCTGCTTCAGAACATTATAAACATTAAGAATGAATGCAGCCCTGTTTCCCTGAACACAGTCCAAGTGAGCTGGATGAGCCCTGTGGTGGTCCCTCAGAGCTCTCCTCAAGAGGCATGTCAGGACTTCCCTGGAGGGCAGGTCTTCCACCCGCCTCAGAAGTATCAACCGTTCCAAGTCAGTGGCTCCCCACAGATGATGGACCAGGCTTCCCTGTACCAATATTCTCCACAGAACCAGAATGTAGAGCAGCCGCCGCACTACACCCACAGCCCAGCCCTGGAATACAGTCCCTATTCCAGAGCCTCCCAGTCCCCCAGCTTTGAACTTGACCTCTTTGATGGTCAGGCACCACAGTTCTGCACAAACCAAAGTTTTGCTTCCCTTCTCCGTAGTCATGAGGAATCTGAGAATATTGTGAATCCCATTCAGACTTCCTCCAATGTCCAGCCACAAAGTGATGCTCACCTGCAGAGCTTCGGCATGATGCCCCGCAGCGCCTGTGAGGCCATTGGGGGGCACGAAGTAGCCTCCACCTCTGTAAGCACCTCGTTGCCCTGCCAGAACATCACCGGAAGTCCACTGAGCACCACACAGCTAGGGAAATCATTTTTTCAGTGGCAAGTAGAGCAGGAAGAAAGCAAATTGGCAAATATTTCCCAAGACCACCTTCTTTCCAAGGATGCAGATGGTGACACGTGAGTATTCTTTCATCTCGTAAACTTAATTAGGCAAACCACACTTACTGGACATAGTGGGCGTAGGATTGTCTAGGGCATACCAAGTTATATCTTGGTTAGTGGTTGGTTAACCAAGATGACTAGTGTAGGCAGAAACTGCTACTTAATTATAGCTAATAGTTCCAGAAAGAGTTTCCCTTTTTTTCATTTTTTTGGCTGAACAAATGACCTGTTCTAAATTAATAAAAGTATATGTGTCTTCCTGTATAATTGGGTTTGGAAGAGCGTCACAGACTATGTCTGTAGAGCAGAAACAATGAGAACATGATGAGGCATAAACTGTGAGTTGATTTGTAGGTTGATCCTAATCTGTCCTGATGTCTTTGTGGCCTCGGGGAAGTTATTCAACCTCTCTATTCCTCAGTTTCTTGACATGTAAAATGACCATGCCTCCCTCAGATGGTTTTTGTGAATATTAAAAATAATAGATCTAAAGTGATCAGCATGGTGCCTGACAGTTGTCTTTCTCTTCTTGTTTCTGCTAGCCTAACTCATTCTGTTGCAACTGGGATGTGTTATTAATCTAGCAGAAAAGACAAATTATACTCTGCAGTGTTTCATTTGACTGCACCATTATATCAAAAAGAGGGCTAAAGGAAGGTTGGTTTTTGGTTTTTTTTTTTTTTAACATACATTTAGTGAAATCAGAAGGGATTGACCTCTTTTCCTTTCTTGTTCCCCAGGTTCCTTCACATTGCTGTTGCCCAAGGGAGAAGGGCTCTTTCCTATGTTCTCGCAAGAAAGATGAATGCACTTCACATGCTGGATATTAAAGAGCACAATGGACAGGTGAGGATCCCAACAGAGTCTGAAATGGCAAAGATGGGGTCATGGCAAAGTGAATGGCACATATGTAGATCATCTCAGAGCTCAAGATCAAGAGGCTTTAGTTAATATTAACTTTGAGATGTTGACTTTTTGCCACCATCCACCCTGAGGTTATTAACGTTAACTTTGTAGTTATTTGACCAAAGACTGAGTATAATAAAGCTGCACCCTAAGCTTATTTTAGTTTCCTTGTCTTGCAGTATCTGATTTCTTATTAATAGGATTTATTTTCTCTACATGGGTGTTTCCCTTAGTCATAGTTTAGTTTCATATTTCTTGTTATGATAATGTTAATGTTTAAAAACATGTTTTCTTCCTCCCCCTGGGTGTTCACAGAGTGCCTTTCAGGTGGCAGTGGCTGCCAATCAGCATCTCATTGTGCAGGATCTGGTGAACCTTGGGGCCCAAGTGAACACCACAGACTGCTGGGGAAGAACGCCTCTGCACGTTTGTGCTGAGAAGGGCCACTCCCAGGTGCTCCAGGTAAGAGGCTTCCATCATTGCAAGCTAAAGAGATAGGGCTTAGATATGAGAAGCCAGATGTAGGTTACCTGTTGCAGTATCTATTCTGAATTACATTTCTTGGGATTATAATAAAGTGTGTGTGTAGCTTGTCTCTCTCACAGATGTCTGTTTTAAAATTTTGCAGGCAATTCAGAAGGGAGCAGTGAGGAGCAATCAGTTTGTGGATCTTGAGGCAACTAACTATGATGGTAAGCAACGGAAACTTCATTAGGTAAAGAACCATTTAGAGAGTGAGGCATAGGAGTTCTAAGAGTGCTTACTAAGTATCATATCTAAGAGGGAAATTCAGATTGCTTTGCTGGTTCTTGTAGAGCCCATTTGTAAGTAAAATTAGAAACCATCCTCAAGGTTTGTTATTAAAGAGGGACCACAGGACTTGATGGGACTTTTGACCACTGCTTTATTATGCTTTCCTTCCAGGCCTGACTCCCCTTCATTGTGCAGTCATGGCCCACAACACTGTGGTCCATGAGCTCCAGATAAATCAACAACCACATTCCCCTGAAGTTCAGGAGCTTTTACTGAAGAATAAGAGTCTGGTTGACACCATTAAGTGTCTGATCCAAATGGGAGCAGCAGTGGAAGCAAAGGTAAATTCATAGAAAAGGTTTGAGTTGGAGTAGGGGAGAACAGTGGTAATAGCAAAAGACCTTGCTCCCAAGTACAGATGGAAACTTCTTTATTTTTTTTCTTTTTTAAAAAGGATTAATGGAGTAGCAATGAATGGATAGTTAAGAAGCTTAGATTTTAAAAGATCATTTCATCTCCTTTCTTGATTTCCTTTAATCCATGGATTATGAACCAAAAGATCATTTACTTGTCAAGTAAATTTGTCTTTGAAAGGGAAAGCAAATGCTTGAAATTAATTTTGTCATTCTGGCTTCCATTTTCATTCACTGAGAATATTGGTAGTGCTTTTTGTAAGGGTTTCTTCATTATTGTAAGATCTGGACTTAATCTTCTGTTTTTTAAACTGGAAAGTATTTTATTATTTTAAAATTTGGGCTTTATTTGCTGAGAATCTTTGGGGGGAAAATGCTTAAGTCAAAAACCACTTGGACCCTTAAGGGCTTACTGTCTAATAAAAGAGGGGAGAGAGACAGCTAAATATAACTCTGGGGTTAGTCACCAAGTCTGAAAACACAGGTAAATACATAATAAGTGGTTTATTGATATGTGACAATACATGATAAAAAAAAATGTCGTCTATGTTTCTATGTTTTATGGCCACTCTGAATACAAAGGTAGATTGTGATAAGAGGCATGCAGGTGAATGAATAGGGAATTTAAGAGGAATAAAAGATTCCATTGAGTTTGGGATTAAGGAAGGCTTTGTGGGGAAGGGAGCATTCAAAGTGACTCTCCAAGGTAGTGTCTGACATTTAAGAGACTGTGTGAAAAGTGTATTCCAAGGCCTCGAATCTGGATTTTCATGTTTTTTTTTTCCTCTTGCCTTTGACAAGGATCGTAAAAGTGGCCGTACAGCCCTGCATTTGGCCGCTGAAGAAGCAAATCTGGAACTCATTCGCTTCTTCTTGGAGCTGCCCAGCTGCCTGTCTTTTGTGAATGCGAAGGTGCTTACAGAAAGCTTCAGTAGCCCTACCAGAGTTGCAATGACCTTTACACCTTCTTCAGGTTGTTGGGCTCCTTTCATGAAGTCCCCCTCCCTGATGACTGTTATTTCACTTCTTTGTCTTCAGGCTTACAATGGAAACACTGCCCTCCATGTTGCTGCCAGCCTGCAGTATCGGGTGACACAGTTGGATGCAGTTCGCCTGTTGATGAGGAAGGGAGCAGACCCAAGTACTCGGAACTTGGAGAACGAACAGCCAGTGCATTTGGTTCCCGATGGCCCTGTGGGAGAACAGGTGAGGGTTATAGGAGGGAGAGGAAATACTTTAAGCCCCCAGTCAAAAACATCAAGGTAGATGAGGTTGTATAGGGCGCAGGCTGGCTGATGCTCTTCAGATGGGCTCTGTCAGCGTCTGTGTCTCACAGGAATTGTTTTGTTTCCAAAAAAAGACTAAGAAATTGGAAGGTTTATCTCTGAACCCAAAATGGTCAAGGGTCAATCAGACCTCTTGCTTTGGCCTCCCCAAGTGCTGGGATTACAAACGTGAGGCACTGTGCCTGGCCATATCATGTAATCATTACAAAAAATCTTGCAGTATTAAATAAGATTCAGCTGATAAGATTGATATAGTTACTAATAATGATGGTTCCAGGGACCATCATTATTAGTAACTAAGCCCAGAATTTGCTGCCACTTAAACCGTTTGTGGTGTGCGGTCATCTAACTCTGTGCTCAGGGATTATTGAGATATGGAGCCATTTGACTCTTCATAGAATGTTCTCAGATGACTCTTCTTTTTCCTTTTGTGTTTTGTGTGTATGTGCGTCGGGCAGAGAGAAGGTCTTTTTCCTTACTTTTATTGTGTGTCCTAGCAGCTATCAGTCGTATCCCCTACCCCAATCTCCTTCTAAATTGTTCCTCTTATCTGTTGTGGGCTGAGGGACAGATGATACAGTTTGTCAGACTGAGGTGTAAAATCAATCACGTGGCTCTGAATGAGCCTAGGGTCTTTTTCTGTGATCCATGAAGTCATGCACAGATGCTTTCACACTTGGCTGTCATGACAGCTATTTTAACTCGAAGGCTATTAAGAATTTACTTGTGCGTGAATAGATGGGTTTTGTGTTCTTGATAGTTGAGCTTGACTTCAAGATAAAAGATATTATAATATACCGTAATTACTGCCCTGTATTAAATGTTCTCACAGATAGCAGGAGTAAAGATTAGGAAAGGACTATAGGTCCTAGTTTAGTTTTGGAGATTTTCAGCGTCAGGTAATTTTCTTATTTTATTTTATTTTAAAGACAGATAATTTTTAAGGGAGATGTTTTTCTTTCTTGCACACAAAAATTGACAAAGGAGATCTGAAATAAGCTTTAAAAGGAGTTTATTATTTTAAAGTCACCTTAAACTTGACAAATATTGTACATATTTCTTCGTATACTTATGAGTTAATAGGAGTAGTATAGTGTATATCAGAAAGCAATGAAATGCCGTTTTTTGACCATTAAAAACAAACCTCACAAATCTTTTTACTTCTCTTTTAGATCCGACGTATCCTGAAGGGAAAGTCCATTCAGCAGAGAGCTCCACCCTATTAGCCCCATTAACTTGGAGCCTGGTCAGCAACACTCACTGTCAGTTAGGCAGTCCTGATGTATCTGTACATAGACCATTTGCCCTGTATTGGCAAATGTAAGTTGTTTCTATGAAACAAACCTATTTAGTTCACTATTATATAGTGGGTTATATTAAAGGAAAAGAAGAAAAATATCTAATTTCTCATGGCAGATTTGCATATTTCATACCCAGGTATCTGGGATCTAGACATCTGAATTTGATCTGAGTATAAAATTGCCTTCAATGAACAGTAGCTTTTGGGTAGGAAAAGACTTTGATTTGTGGCATAAGACTTTGCTCATAGAGCTATTGCCAGTTTCAAAGCAGGTAAATTGTAAAGATTTCTTTAAGAAAAATAAGAGCCTTCGAAAGGAAACAAGTAAATATAGTGCTGAGGCTTGGTTTGGCCTGAGGCAGTACCTGCAGTTATTGGTGTTAGAAAGTCTCTAGTCATAGGACTAGACGAAAGGTGTCCATGGTTAGAATTTGATCTTTGCAAACTGTGTATAATTGTTATTTTTTATCTCTGAATATATTGTACATATTTGGTCATTAACATGGTTGTGTTTTAACTGTGTAAGTCAATAAAATAGAAAGGAACAAGTGAAATTGTCACTATTTTAAACATTTTTACACACTTAAATGAGCTGTTATTGTATAATTCCTGAGTAAAGTCTTTGTAGATAAAGCAGATGGGGAGTTATTCCTTTAGTGGCCGAAAGAGCTATGTTTAAATCGTAAATGTGCCTTTTCTCATGCACTGAAATAAGACATGTTACCTGTAGGGAATTGCATGCTCTTGCAGAGAATACCTCCTTACGGCTTACTCTCTAGAATTTGTAATTTACATGTTCTGCTGAAATTTTTGTTTTTTTATCTTTATAGAGGCAACAAAAAGTCAATATTGAAACATGTCTTCCTGTTTTCCGTTGTCAAATAATGATAATGTGCCATGACATATAACAATTCGGAAAAATGTTTAACATTAATTCTGTTTTGCTTAATATTATTTTGCTTACCTCTGGCATGCCTGAGGGACATATTTGGCTTTAATTGCACACTAATTTTTTGTAAGAAATTTGACTCATTAAAAACTTTTTTTAAAAATGAGAAGTTTCATAAGTGATTGACTAACTTAACATCTTTGTAACTAAACACTTAAATTATTTTTAAAAAGATGCTCTTAGGATTGATCACATCATTTGACCCAGAATGTCTTGTAGTCAAGCTAGTTATAGTCACCAATACATTTACACTGTAAAATCTCATGCATGGTTTTAAAGAAACATTAATTCACTTATAGTATTTGCCTTAGGAATGTACATTTTCTTTTCCTAGTGCCTTATTTATATTTCTGTGGGTAGAAAAAGTACCATTAATGATACCCTAACCTTTAAATTAGTTGATATATTTTAATTTGGATTTTTTAAATACCATATTTCCTGAAGGAATACAAGATTTAACACCAACATCTGTTTGCTAAATTAATTAGTAGAGGTTTGTTAGGTTATGAAATACCGTGGAAATTTAGCAGATACTGTTGATCATTCAGAAGTTCATATGCAAAAAAAGCAATATGGGAGCAGTGAACACAGGAAAAGCAGTTTGGAGATGACCAGGATGGTCCTGAGGGTGTAAACCTGGGAGCAGTATGAAGGGGGGTTCTTCCCTTTCCCAACGTGCCATTTGACTTGTGTGAGAACAAACACATCAACACCCCCATCAACATTAGACATTTCAATTACTACACGTATATCCTAGTTCTTATAGCCTCCTTGGGAGTCTGGTGAAAGCTACAAATCCTTTCCCTGGAAAAATGCCCATATGTGTATATACACGAACACTTTACAAAATCAGAGGCTTCGCAGCCCTCAGAAGATCATGAGGCAGGTTAAGAATCTACTTTAGTTCCACTTCTGTACATCAGATATGATTTTATTCCTTCATATAAATGTTATCTTAAGAGTAATTCGCTTTACAAATGCAACCTGATAACCAGAACAGTAGAAATGATGTACCCCCACTGAACACAGCTATACAGTGAGCTATTCCCAAATGGGTATGTGTGTTCTCTTCTAATTAATCATTTGAACCGATGTCTAGCAAGCATATTTGTGTGTCTGTGCAAAGATGTATTATAGCTAGTATGAAGCCAAGACTTCTATTTCTCAGTCTTAAGGTACTTACATGAGAGACATGGCATGCCCTGTATTAGGTAGACCATGTTAAATGCCGTTGAAAAAGGAAGACATATCATAGAGATTCAGAAGAGAAATTTCTATCTTACTGTGGAGGAATCAAGGTAGAGCATTAAAAAAAAGTTTTAGATTCAGGGAGTACACATGTATGTTTGTTACATGGACGTAATATATAGTGGTGGGGATTGAGACTCAGGTGACCCATTCTCCAGGTACTGAACATTGTGCCCCAAATACCACAAAAGCCATTGCAACTAAAACAAACGGGACTTAATTAAACTAGGAAGCTTCTACACAGCAAAAGAAACGATCAACAGAGTGAACAGAAAACCTACTGAATGGAAGAAAATATTTGAAAATTACACCTCAGTCAGAGGGCTAATATCCAGAATCTACAAGGTACAGCATTTGAGCTGCATCTTCAGAATAGGTGATTTGGGTGTTCATAAAAAAGAAGGAGAGGCAGGTGAAACAAACAAAACAACATGAACCAAGGCACGGTGTTTTAAGGGAACAGCAGTGGGTTTCAATGTAGTTTGGTTAGAATCTGGCATAGCCAATGTTTCAGCTGGTGTTCCCCCTCTGCCTGGTAATATTCTAATGAGTATCACATTGAGAAGGATCCTCTGGCTTTTGAGGGGCTTGGCAGAAGAGGGCACTGTGACTTATTAGTGATATCAAAGAATGAGCCTCACAGAAACTAAGATTATGCACTCATTGCAACCTCAGTGCCTAGCACAATGTCTGGCAATGTAGGAGCTCAGAATACGCTGGTTAAATGAGTGAATGAATATATGCCAATCCTGACTGGGGTCACTGGTTTTTGAGGAGAGCTGATGAATTTATTTATTATGTATTTATTTATTTTGAGTTGGAGTCTCTGTCACCCAGGTTGGAGTGCAGTGGCACAATCACAGCTAACTGCAGCCTCAACTCCCTGGGTTCAGATGATCCTTTTGCCTCAACCTCCCAAGTAGCTGGGACTGAAGGTACATGCCACCACATCTGGCTAATTTTTTTTTTTTTTTTTTTTTTTAGTAGAGATGAGGTCTCACTATGTTGCCCAGGCTTGTTTTGAACTGAATTCCTAGGTTCAAGCAATTCTCCTGACTTGGCCTCCCAAAGTGCTGGGATTATAGGCACGAGCCACCACGCCTAGTCGGAGGTGGTGTTTTGAACCAGACATATTATTAAATACTAATGAATCAATGACTGTCATGGTTCTGAACTTAACTCTGACCTAAGGTTTTACAGTGACAATGATGACATGCTAATAAAAATGAGCATAGTTAAGTGCATTAAAAAACCAAACAAACAGGTATTCCTCTCTGTAAGGGACTAATTTTAGTATCATAGTTTGGTGTTTATTAAGAAAACCTAAGATTTGGTTAGAGACCAAATCTTCCAGCTCTGGTTGTAAGTCAGTAACATTTCATATCCTTTCTGTATTTTTACTTAATCAGGAGTGGAGAATTTCCTCAAACTCATTAAACGTTTAACAAAGTCATCTTCTTAAGCACTTTGGGAGACTGAGGCAAAAGGATTGCTTGAGCTCAAGAGTTTGAGGCTATAATGAGCTATGATTGCATTACTGCACTCTAGCCTGGGCAACAGAGCGAGACCCTAAAAAAAAAAAAAAAAGCTTATTATCTCTTAATCAGAGTGGAAAATTTTCTCAAACTCCTTAAATGATTAACACATGTCATCTTCATAGGCACAGTGCCATGAACTCCATCTTTTGATAACCTCAGTTTACTGTTGAATGTGATCACAAGGAGACATCAACTTCAACCACTGGCTGGGTTCCTCTGAGATCAGGCCTGGGTACAAGGTTAGAGACTAGTTATAATCATGCTGCTGGGATCAGCCCTTGAGAGGAGGAGAGGGATTGTCTCATTCATCCTCAGAGGCCCTGTGCCTGTCGTGGTATCTGACACATAGTAGACATTCAATAAATTGTTCTTAAATGGAATTTAATTTTATGACTCTTTTAAATTTATTCTTTCTTGGTATATTTTATACTTCAATGCATAAACATTTTATCATTCATGCAGTTTATGACTAAAACCAGAAGTACTTTTATGCTTCAACGATATGAGGGGGGGACTACCCCAAAAAACGCAAAATTTATTTATTAAAAAAGTGCATTTATTTCTGACATGTTTAAACTTCAGTCACCTTCAAAGTACTCTCTATTTGATGCAATTCACCTATCTAGGTGATTTTTCCACCGCTCAAAACGGTTTTTGAACTTGTTAATTTGGATGCCTTTTAGTGCTCCTGCCATGTTTTGTTTCACCTCTTCCACATTGGCAAAATGTTTCCTTTTGAGGACTTTTTAATTCGGGGAAACCAAAAAAAGTTGCTTGGAGTGAGATCGGGTAAATAGGAAGCGTGGAGCACAGGGATTATATTGTTTTTGGTCAAAAACTGCTGAACGCTCAACATAGCGTGGGCAGGTACGTTTGTAAATCACCCATCATGAAATAGGCAAAAACGTTAAAAGAATCTCAAAAAAAAAAAAAAAATTCACTGAAGCTGAATGTTGCCTTTCACAACAACGCTAGCTGGTACACTGATGCTGATGGATTCCTAGAGCACTTAGTGAAGGAAGCCTGTACTACAAGGGGCTCGCCTTTGAAAAGATAATTTCATTTTTGGGGGGGTCCCTATTCCTCCTACACCAATTCAGGTTTCACTTTGTTTTCTCAGTCCCCTCATTCTACCTTTGGAGTCTGTGCAGACCCAGAGACACTGCAAGGGTGGTACATTTCCAGGACGAGTAAAATTGTAGATGCCTCTCAAAGTGAGCCACGTTTTCTTGATTCTATCTTTGTCCTCCAGCCTGTGCTGCCTGCTCCCTCCATCACACCGCTCCCCTGTCAGCCCCAGAGAATTTTGGGATGAGAAGAGCCAGATAATTAAGCTGCTGAACGCC